CAGTCAGAACTGCATCGACGTTTGGCAACACCGTAACTTACTCAACAGCAAATGTAACTAGTGGCAATTTGCTTCGCTTCAGTTAGTAGAATTGCAAATGGTTAAGTTTAGGAAGCCAGCTAGAAAGACACGACATGTATATAAGACGTTACCGGGAAGCATGTTCACCAATGAGACGATCATTTCAAGCTCATCTGCAAGCAACTGAAACAGTGACTTTCCATGTGCGAAGCTCGTGGCTCTCTCACACAGCGTCCTTCATAACGTCATCACTTTCATTTAATAACATCGAGGTCTCTAACGGTTCCCGTGTCCTTGCCTTCATCTCCTGTAGGAGGATTATGTTTTTGTTTATTTCTCATATCTAGTGAGCAGATAGTTCCAATCAGTCCCATCGACAGTGCACTGACCCTTCTTGATCCACGCCGGGGGGGAAACTGTCCTCCTCCCAAAACAGAAAGCATGTGAAACGCCTGAATGACGCTGTGATGCTGTGATTAGAACATTTTGTCCCGAGCATCCCTTCATCCCCACACCCTCCCTCCCTGTCTGTGTTTGGGCCACTCCCCACCCTACCTCCTCACGCTGTGTCACTTCTGTTTGCTTTTTCTATTTTTTTTTTTTTTGTCTCTCTACAGTTTCCATTTATAGCAAAAGCCTTGGAAGTGAAACTCACCCAGTGTTACCATCTGCACACGCAGGCTAAAGCTAGCTGCATTGTCTCTGGCTAGTCCGTACACAGAGGAAATAGCCGAGGAAAGTGTGTGTGTGTGTGTGTGCAAATTAAATTTGTGTGTGCACGTGTTTGTTCAGCGTGTGTTTGTGTGGCATAAATCAACACCAGGCTGCTGGTGTGACATCTCGTTAAAGAGACAGTCTACCTGCAAACGTTGCCAGCAAATGTCCAAAGCTGAAGAGCATCAGGCGGAGTGGGGTGGGGGGGGGGGGAGCGATACTACAAATGCATTGCATTGTGTTTAATGCGTACAGGTGCCCGTGTGTTTATTTGTTTATTGAACTGGCCCCTCCACATTCTACAATCAGGTTTGTTCAGTAAAAATGGTTGGATTGAAGCTGCCGTTTCACTACTTGTGATTCTTTATCATCACAGCAGGATATTCACGTTTGATCATTTGGGCACAGCTGCTTTCGTCTCTCATTACAAGGATTGAAGCGTAAAATACAATAGCAGGTATATTGAATGAAACACTTTTTGCTTCCTGTGCACGTGTGAGGTCTTATTTTGATGCTCACGATCAAAGTCCAAAAAAAACATTTTGGGCAATCCAATTAGGGATCTTTAATCTAACCCCAGTCTCTAGGCGTGGATACAGCACAGAGATGTGAAAGGTAACTATGTCCTAGTTTTTTGAGCAGTTACTATTTTTAGAAAGCAGAAAGATAAGGGAACAGGGGGGGGGATCCCCTCGAGTCGACAGCAGCAGCTTTATGTTCCGGACAATTTACACCCTCCTTATGCTATAACGACCTTTCTGCCTTCATCATTCACTCATTCCAGCCCCCAACGTACCCTCTGCTCCTCTATGTCCTTTCTCCGTCCCATTATCCTCTCTCCTTGCCTCCCCCCCCCCCCCACCCCCCTTCTGGCACTTTTATCTGTTGCCCTTCATACATTCAGTTTTCCTCTCGTGTCATGTATCCTCTTCCACCCTTCAACATCTCTCCAGCTTCTCCTTCTCTGTCGGCCATATTGCCAACCAGCCAGCTGCAGACATGCAGAACTCAAGCCCCCTTCGGTTGTTCTTACTATAAATGATGAGCAAAAAGGAGAGCTGCAAATTTTAGGTTGTGTATTAAATGTAAAAATAGAATTAGTCAGGGACAATATAAAACGTCCTTTGTGGGACTAGAAGTTCCTGTTCCTCATCTGCAGGGCCAGCAACATCCACTGCACTTATGCACGCAGTGTCTGCGTGTGCACACGTATGCATGTGAATCTGGTGTGCTGGCATGATATCTTGGTAATTTATGGCTTTATATATTTTTGTTCCATTCTCTTTATCCCTCCACATCTGGTAGATTTGAGTCTAACCCAACACATAGAACAGCTGTGTACTGGCCGGCTGTGTGTGTGTGTGCATTCATTTGTGTGCGATTGCACAAATCCAGCGTATTGGGCACAATCTTCCGGCCCATCTGGATGACTGCTTGGGGAGGCAATCATAGGGCAAGTGACATTGATTGTGTAATAGACTCATAATTACATTAAAATCTTTTATCCTGTTGGAGCCAAAAATAACATTCATTGTAACTACTTAATTTTTTAGGTCTTGAATTTGTAACGCAAGTGCAAAAATCTGCTTCACTTCAACATGTATTCAATACAAACTGGTATTTTCTTGTTTTTCTTGCTTCAATCTCTCCTACCAAACTTTTCACAATAGTCCTGAAACTATTGAAATGAAAGTTGGAGGAAGTGGATATATAAAACATTTTTGTGTATAATGAAGTGTATATGCTAAAAATGACAAATGTCAAATACAAGTATGACACATAGCAAAGGGATCAGCAACAGTTGTTGCAAGACTCTGAGCTTTGTTGTGCTGCCACCCAGTGGCCGACTTCATTAGTTGCACAGAATGCTAAAATGTAGTTTTCTTTATATATGTCTGGTTGTTGAATGTCACCTGATAGTAAATGCAAAACCAACAGCAGCACAATTGTGTGAAAACAGAGTTAGTACATTAGTCCCATTTAATTATATAGTTAGTTAAATGTTAATAAAAGCTAGGGGGAATGTGATATGTGATGATATAGTTAAGGTTGAAAAGAGTAATATATTGTTGTACTTTTAAAAACTATTACTTAAAAGCAATTTGACTGAAGAAAAAGTTGGTTGGCTAAATGATGGGAGTACTCTTAACCGTAAGGCAATTCATATTTAAAAAGACGGGAATATTTGTCGCAAGAATTGCTTCAAATATCTCTTATCAAATCAACGGCAGAGTAAAACATCCCCAAAACAAACAACACGTAGGTAACGAACCGGAGCTACACAAACAAAATCAAATATGGAGGAGGAAGATTTAGCCTCTTCTTTTTGCACTTTTTTAGTGAGCACTATTAAAGTTAAATGAGCCCAGGTTGCCTAGCAACATGGGCTCTGGAGTCCCATCCATCCCAGTGACTCACTTGCATCCAGAAAACACACACATTGTATCACGCGTCTGCTAAGTCTCAGCATGTACTGCTCATGTCCCAGCATGACCAGTACACAACCCGGCATGTTAGCATAATAGCATGTTAGCATTGAGGGTGTTAGCGTCCACCATGTTAGCGTTTATCATGTTAGCTAACGCTGAAACTAGCTTGCAGCAAAAGGTCACTGAGCACGCCCGCCTGTGTGTGCAGCACTTCACTCGCTTTTAATCGAGGTTTTCTAACTATGGAGGTACGTTAATGGTGACTTAAGCCCCTCGTGGACCTTCGATTTTATTTAATTTTATTGAACTACTTGATGTAAAAGAACATAAACAGATACGCCACACTCCATTGAGTGTAGTGAACTTATGTCTCACACAAGGCAAACCTTTTTTAAGTGCACATAGATTACCACAGTGAACTGATACACAACCGATTCATTGGTCTTGGTGTATCATATCAAAGGGGGGGCTACATCGGACCCTGATAGCGTAACACACTGGAATCACAAACTTAGTGCAGTTGCATTGTATTTAGGATTTTCACACCATTTTAATTTTCCATTATGAGTCCGACAATATGGTATGAACGCAATTAACGCAAATATTTGGTGTGTTCACCCGAGTTTGTTCCGTGATATACTGTTTTTGGTTTAGCGTTTAAATCAACACTGTGACAATCGATGTGCAATCAATGACTATTTTTTGTGAATCAGTTGTTGAACACCAAGTCGTTTCTAACTGATACGGTGTCAATAAGGGGCATCTTGCCCCCCTTGTGTGCCAGAGGCTGACTAGCTTATTATTATGGTCTGTCTGGCAGGCTGCCTGGCTGGTGGTCTCTGAGTGAACTTGATACTGAACTCAGCAGTCACCGGCGATGTGAAGCGCTGTGCGCCGCTAGTCTGGAGCTCAGCCAGTCATTTAACACTTGTCGACAGTTCTAATGAAAGTGGCCTTTTCCTTGGCGGCCTCTTTTTCATTATAAGGGTCAGAGGTCGCCACTCAAGGCTGGCTGCCTGACAGTTTAGAGAAGAGGGTTGAGGATGGGGGTTAGAAAAAAAGCTGATATAAGGGACGAGGGGGAAGGGTGAAATTATTCACTTGCTAGTCGGCCCCATATGTTCTCATTCCTATACCCTGCTGGACTTTGTGACTAATCTAAGTTATTAAGGCATCCCACTGCGCTAGCATTTATCAAGCCTGCGTTGATTCCCACCCGAACTTGTTACTGTTAGCAACTAGATACTCACGCAGAGTAACAATCCCCAGCGGCTCAATAACTTCCACAACGGCGATAAGCTACAATCTCCAACACTGGAGGAGGCACTAAACAAAGCTCTTTCTATGCTTAAGGGGTTACATTCCTCAGTGTTCTGCTTGACTTGACTCTCTCCATTTCCCTCAATGTTTTATATTATGCCTCTTTAACACAGATGTGGCCAACCAAGTGAGTGAAAGAGAATCAGCCGACATCCCTCTCCTCCTCCTCCTCCTCCTCTTCCTCCTCTTACCCTTCACCCCGGCCTCTCGCACATGAAAGGAGCCGCACAAGGCCAATAGATGGCTGGTGGGATTTGTGCTATGCGAGGGCCCCAGACCCAGACACAACACAACACACAGCTCTGCAGGCCACCACAGCGGGGCTGGAATGTGACCTGCTTCAGACTGGCCCTGTGTGTGTGTGTGTGTGTGTGTGTGTGTGTGTGAAATACAATTGTAAGGAGGAGGACATGGATGAAAGGATGCATGAGGCTTTTGATAAGCTGTGAGCATGGTGGGTAGTTTTGTATTAAACCCAGAGACCAGCACAACATCATAAAGCAAGGACATCTGTAGTATTTTTAAATCATCTTTATTCTTTTTGCCATCATATTCCATGCACGTTTTAATGGACACTTGTATATCATAGATAACATTAAACGAAATCAGTCTATATATCCATAGATATATACAAATATGAGAAATAAATCAAAAATAAATACATGGTACAGAAGTCCACATACGTACTGAAGTCTTATCAAAAGAGATTCCACAAAATATGAAACCAAAGAGCTTATCTGATTCTGGTAAATAGACGGATGCTTCGCTCTGCATAATCGTGAGCTCGCGTGTTCCTGACAGATGTTACAGTGTTGGGACGACCCACAAAAAAACATTAAGCAGACGTACCAGTAATATTAAAACATACCCTTAAATTATTAGTATTAGTGTAAAAAAGATCAAATTTGGAGAGGAAATCTAGAACGCTGTTTTAGTAAAGAGGATTTTTAGAGGGTAAATACTTGACTAATTCTACTCCACCTGCCTTTTTCCGACAGCGCTCTCGGTACGAACATCAAAACTGACGAAGCTTAAGAACATTTAAAAAAAACGCTTTTAGGAGATTTTTTAAACAGCATCCGTAAGGAAATCCTGAATGAAAAGGAGCTGACGATAAAGATCAGTGACAGCGGTGAAGCTACGAGGAATGACTCTCTGAGATCTACAGAAAGACACAAAGAAAAGAAAATGAAACGTCTCAAACAGGCAACAACATTTCCAACGTTACAGATAAGTTACTCCTTTTACGTTTACAGTCAGTCAGTCAGTCCGACTGTCGAGTTCACTGGAGCTTAAAAATGATCAGAAAACACATCCGGCCTCCAGCGAGTGTCAAACCTAAATGCACTCTACTGAACGACAGCGAAATCCTTCAGGAAGTCACATGTTTTCTTGTGGATGACCTCTCGGAGCTTCCTGACCCTCCGAACGCTGGAGGATCCCACGAAGCTGTCGGGCTGCAGGACGGCCATCCCGTTCTGGACGTCCCCCATGATGATGAGCTGCCCGTCGGTCGTGGTGATGTTGGGGCAGGGGCAGTTCCAGTCCATGTTCAGCAGAGTCACCTCCAAAGGCTCTTTGCCAAAGAATCTCAGACCCATCTTCTCATCCCTCAAGATCTCCTCCACCGTTACCAGCGCGTGGCCCGACTCCTGCTCCTCCGTCAGCTCGGTCACACGTCCCAGGATCACAAAGTCGCTCCTGCAGAAGCTGCTGACCATCTTGGCTCGGGGTTTGCACGTCTTGCACTTGCGGTTCTTCGGATACGGGCACATCTCTTCGCAGGCCTCTTTGGACTCGAAGCTGTTCTCGTTGCCACCGCAGCCTCCGTACACGAAGGACTGGCACTTTTTGAGGCTGTTGCTGTAAGCCCAGCGAGGCTCGTAGGCCTTGCAGGGCCCCTGGAGGCTCGGCAGGCTGCAGGGAGCCGCCAGCTCCCCCCCACACGACAGCATGCAGGTTTCGTACGCGTCGAAGTGGTTGCGGTTTTTGTTGCACTGACTGTAGGTGAAGGTGAAGCAGTTGTTCCTCTTTGGTTCGTAGTACCAGGTCATGCTCTCCTCTCCACAGTCGTCTGTGTCCGGGCTCTTGAGACACTCCTCGGCTGGAAACGGCAGGTGGGTGTCGTTTCCCTCCGCATTCCTACCTTTGGCCTCCTTCCCGATCACCACCAAGGGAAAGTGGGACGACACGCTCCCCCCGACATTTTTGGCCGTGCAGGTGTAAATGCCGGCGTCCTGAAGTTGCGCGTTGTATATGACAAGCTGGCCGACGTTGGTGACCACGACGTTCCCCTCGACGTGATTGGGCCTCATTATGGTGTTCTCTTTGCCCTTCAGTTGTTTCTCCCACGTGATCTGCGGATGCGGCTTTCCAGACACTTCGCACAGAAAGCTGGCCGTCTCGCCCACAAAAACCGCCTGCTGGGTGAGGCCGCCGTGTATGGTGGGCAGCTGGATGTCAGCGGGGAGGGTGGTCTGCAGGGCGGTGGTGGGGCGTAAGGTGGTCTCTGCTGGGACGGGACTGGTGTTTGGCCAGGTCAGATGGTACCTGTAGGTGGGGCGAATGAGAAAGGAATTAATGAAAGTTTCTTCCTCGATGAAAACAGTCGTTTCTGTAAACGTTTCAGTTCCGAGGACTAAAATGGGGCAACTCTACCTCACCACACCCAAAAAGCAAAAGATAGATATCTAAAATACTTAACATGTTACCTGCAGGTGACCTCAGAGATAGAGATACCCTTGGAACAGGCCTCTGCATCCATGTAGCACTTGTTATAGTACGTCATGCCGTCAGACGCACACGTGAAGTGGGGTTCTCTCTCACAGCGGTCCCGGCACTTACAAACGGGCTGGCCGTCCCAGATGTCACACTCGGACCCCTGCTGAGAGCACATGAACTTGTCGCAGGTGGCGCCCTGCGGCATTCCTATCGGGCCCTTGTTGCCCTTGACGTCTATGTAGCGCGACGCCACGCAGCTCTTGTTGCCACACACATTGCGGCAGCACTTCTCAAATGTCTCACAGTCCTAGAGGGAAAGAAAAGACAAATCAAAAAGGATACTTTTTTACTATTTCCATACATTTGTAGTTCAAATTGAACAGACAAAAAAGTTGTATTCCTGGTGGAATTATATCTAAATGATATCAGTGTGGAGGAGTTTTGACCAATATTTGGATAACTTAAGTTTGGATAAACTCAAGGAGATACAGTTTGTTAAAAAAAATATAACACGTGTAACACTAAGATTATTTTTGATCAATTGTTTTTATGATTCCACCCCCCCCCCCCTCATGTAGCAGCTCCTGCACAATACAAAGAAAAAAGGGGGATTCGTCCGACACGGTACTCGCTCATCCAGCTGCCTCTGACACACAGTGGGTTTCTCCCAACACGAGATCCCGGTCCACATAAAGATCGAACACACCTCGAGCGCGGATGCGCTTCGGGTTTCGGCTCAAACTCACCTGGTCGGATTCACACTCGCGCATGCAGGTGCTCATAGCATCCACCCACAGGTTGGGGTTCAGGTCGTTCGGGCACAGCCCCGCGTGAGAGTACACCACTTTGGCCACGGACATGGGCATCGGCATGGCTCTCACGCGGCCGCAGCCCGTGTAAATGAGAACGGTGTAAGAGGGTCCCAGGAGAAACCAAATCCATCGGGGAAACAGCATCCACCACATGCCCGACGCGTGACACCGCGGACGGTTAAACACGCAACGAGACCACAACAAACAAACAACAACAAAAAAAACGTTCTTCAACACGACTTGTGAAAAGCGGTGGAGAACAAGCCGCCCACCTGCGTGAAAAGTCCCTTCAAAGTGACGCGTTTTTAGTTTGTGGCCGCCGGGGTTCCGCCGCTGCGTGCGGGGAGCGTGCGCCGCCGGGATGGATGTGGAGAGCTTCTCCGCGTCGCGAGTCGCTCGGCGCTGAATAGGAGCGAGAGAGATTAGTGCTGCGGTGCGCGAACCCACCGAGGAGCCAACTGCGTGGATTACAGTGACACGTCACGTCGGAAGCGAATCCCAGCTGAGTTACAGTTATTACTTAATTAAAGAGAGGGGGGTGATAAAGCACCGGGGAGACACCTGTGCGTAAGTCGCAGGATGCCTTAACCCTTAGCTTGCAGAGGAGAAGGAGATAAGCGGCAATAACTCTAATAAGAGTAGGACGGTGACAATTTGAAACTAATAGTTAACACTTCACTTCGGTGCTGAATGTTGTGAAGTCACTATTTCTTCCAAATTACCAAATTGTTATTTTTTATAAAGCATTTCTATTAAGAATATTCTTTGGACATGTTTGCTCTAAATGATCTGCTATGACTTATGCACCACGTTAAAGTAACTTTGCATGACTATACAGAGCACAAATACTTATTTTTAGAACCTCTTATTGTAAAATCCCTCCCGTCCACATGGACCAAACGTCAGTGTCCAGAAGATGGCACCAAATGCCCTTCTAGTCTTTCTTATTTGTAGATCCCATTTTGGTTTCACTTCTGAGCTCAAAGTGTTTTTTTTTCTCTCTCAAGGTTTCCGTACCTGACCAACAGCAGCACATATTTTCAGGTAAGTGATGACAATAATATTTAACATGCCATAAAAGCCCGTTCTGTGATTGGGTCGGTAATATCTGTAATATCTCAGCTGCTTGTTGCTTCCTGCCTTCCAAATCATCACTTTTGATTTCGGCCATCCTGATGCCCACATGCACATAAAGTACACAGCGACTAAGGTAAAGAAGGAATGAGAAGATCATCTAACTGACGTTAACAACCATCACAAAAAAGATTCTACAAATTATATAGTACAAGTTGCACACACACACACACACACAGTCAAGCTGTGTTTTCAATGTCTGCCCAGCCACTCACCCCTGACCTTTGACCCTCGAGATCCTGCATTCCCAGCATAGCCGGCAGTGGGGCAGCAGGGCATGTCACGCGGTGAATGGTGGCGTCCACGCGGGGCGCTCCCACCATCTATCTGCCTCCACCGCTCGTTTTGTCCGCCGTCGGACCTTGACTTTGACCTTCCTCCCCGCGCACACCCGCCGTCTCCCCGAGACCACATCACAACCGCCTCGCAACTTAGTGAACGGCTCCTTTTCATTTTGTTTACCCGCAATGTTTTAGATCCAGTAAAGCTTCCAGATCTGCTGGCAACTGCAAACAAAATATACAACATGTAAGGCGATGAGCTCAGAATTTCTAGCAGCCAGATTTTTTAAAAATTGACACACAGACCCGAACTAGCTGTGTCCCCTTGTTCCCCACCGTCAATAAAATCACCTTCTCATTTATGCTAAGCTAGGCTAACCGGGTGTCGGCTGGAGCCTTTCATCGGACAGACAGCGAAGAGCTCCACAATCATTTCCCCCTCCCTCCCTCATTCATTCATTCCTTCATTTGCTGTATGTGGGCCTGTGCTGCTCAGCTAGAACAAGATGCATATAATATATATATATATATATATATTATATATATATTATTATTATATATATATATATATATATATATATATATATATATATAATCTCTCAATGGCTTTACCTTGTCCTGCATGCAAAAATAAATAAGCAGCTCTGTATATTGGCTTTGTGTATGATGCCCGTCAGAGAGGAGCGCACGTTGCCCCACGGCACGCGGACCCACGTGCCCGGTGGGGAACGTGGCCTTGTGCCTCCGTGTGTGAAACGCTCTCAGGGGCCCTCGAGCACGACGCTCCGCGGCCGAGTCCTGGGAAGCTGGCTGAAAACAATGGAGGTGTTATGACTGTTCACTCTAAGCCTATTAGGGGCGCCTCACTCCTGAACAAAGGAGAGGGACACGTCCGGCCGCTGCCGGGCCGTGAGCCGCTTCCTCGGTCTAGACACGCAGCCGACGGACGGACATGCAGGCACACGTGCACAGATTCACCGGGCGCCACCACGGCGCACGCACACAGGTTGTCACCCATCGTCTGTACATTTAGGTTGCGCACGTACACACGTGTGTGTGTCCCTTTTCTAAAAAGACTCCATTCTCACGTTATGTAAGATTTGTTCCCTCCGGACAGCAGCGTGTGAACATCTGCTCACCACATGAACTCGATCGTATTCGTTTCAGAGCTGTTGATGATCTCCAGTGTGTGCGTACGACCATAATGTAGGCGTTGTTTATGTTCTTTAAATTACAAAGGGAACATAACAAAAGTTCAAAAGAGAATGTACAACATCGGCTCGGACAAATGCAGGTCAAAGGTGAAAAGCCACAGCTGGACAATACATTACTGAACTTTGAAATGTGGAGCGTTTCCAGAAATGCACATTACTAGTGTAAAGATAAGGAGCTATTATGTGGTAATAAATCTATGTTGAAAGGAAGTCTTAATCAATTAGCTCAAATGTACAGGGAATGTTAGTATATTTAAGTGAAGGATAATAAAAACATGAGTCAGGGTTTTAGAGGACGACTTTTTATTATTTAATTCAGTTATTCCTATTATAGATCAGGTGTTTAAGAATTAAATTCTTAATGTAACAATGACTACTTTTAATTGGACCCAGTTATAAAAGTGAAGATATTTTTTCAAGCATAATAAGTTATTTAAGACACTTCCTGTAGATCTAAATATATATTCTTATTTAATTAAGAGACTAGTGGCGCCATGAGAGCAATTTGTTTACTCCCTAACCCCCTCCTCAGGGACTTTCACTCTGAACAAATCAACTCTCACACTGACCCACTGTGGCTTCTGCACTTCTGGGTAGAAACATCAAAATGGACCAATATTTAAAGTGAGTAAAAAAAACTTTTTATATTCAAATAAAAAGTAATTCGATCCTGAACTGAAGTGATAAAACGTATGTGTCCGGCGCAATGCCAATATTTGCTCATTTGTGTCCTCTACTGGCTGATGGTTGAAACATTTCAATACATTAAGCCAGACGAACCCTGTAAGCGGTCCCTGCGTTTATAGAGAGCATCAGGAAAGATGCTCAAGCTCATTACTTCGTCCGTCGATTAGTCAGATGGGAATAATGTGGACACAGTGAGGGAAGTAGTTCACCATGCTTTATCAAAGAACAGATACAGGTCTCCATAAATATCCAACACAACTTAAAACAGTGAAGATAATTTCTACAAGTGCACAGGACGCACTGTATATAAAAATATCAGACTCTGAATGCATAGGTTAAGTCAAACTGTATTCTGCATTTTCTAGAACAATTAGCAACTCAACAAATACAAGTTAGTTATCTCCTTTCCACAAAATCAAAAGAGATCCTATAAAAACCCATTTGGAACACAGTGCTGCCCCTGGACCGGGACGCCATGGGACGCCATGGGACGCCATGGGACCCAGGCGATGCTCCGCCCACACAGACCCAAACTCCTGCCTCAGACAGGGGGCACAACTTCCCATAACGAAGCACTTAACATTGTTGGGACAGAACATAAGCACTCTTGGTCGTCCTTTCTTCACACAGCAAACTTTCTGGACGCCCCCCCCCTCCCCACCAGCCACACATTGCACTTTGCTTCAACGACAGGGACTTTCATCCCTCCGCTGAACTCCTTCTTGCACTAAGTTAAGACAAACAGAAACAGGCCTATCGGTTAAAAAAAAAAGAATAAACCTAAAACATACAAACGCAGTGAGAGCGTCAGGTGGGTGGGGAACGTTTTGATTGTAGATGGAGCATTGAGAACCTAAAGCAGCATGAACGTTCCCCTCCGTCACAACATGGTTAATCCCTCACAGCACAGTAACGCTGTAACGGGCTCCTCTACGTCAGTCAGCAAAACGGGAAAGAACATTAAATAAAGGCTTCAATAAAGAAGAAAAACTATTTGAATACTGGCCTTATTATCCAAACGGAGGCCATGTATGGCTATTTTAAATAAATATAGCCCCCCCGTATAGACACGGTCTAAGTTTAAATGTAGGTGACAAGGTTAGAAAACAACGATTAGAAATGATTAGATTTAAGAATTTAGTGCTGAATGAGGAAGAAAGCACTCATTAAGTCATGAGTCTCACCCCACACACACACACACACACACACACACACACACACACACACACACACACACACACACGGCCTCACGCTCTCGGCTGGATCTCGTTCGTATCGTCGCTGGCTGGATTAGTTTTGGGTTTTGAGTCTAAATCACAGTTAAACAAAACGGCAACAACTGAAAACAACTTTTGCTCAAGCTCTCCACCTTTGAGTGGTCCCGCTTCGTTAGTACACATCAAACATTAAAAATAAAACCTTCAGAGTTGACAGTAAGTATTGAGCTGAATGAAGCCACTAAAACAACCTGTAAACAGAAGTGGGAGAAAAAAGTCAGATGAAAAGACACAAAAGTTCAAAAACAAAACTGATTATTTTGTTTCCACAGTGTCTGACTGAACAATTTAAGAACGCGGGGGGGGGGGGGGGGGGATCCAAGACTCAAATGTGTCCCTCCTTTTGTGGATCGCGATTAAAGCAGAGCGTGCGTAGAGAAGTACTATGTGTCACCTCAGGCTACCTCCACCTTAGAGCTAGTATGCTGTTCCCTCCCCAGGAAAGACACTGAGGTTTATGCCTACAGCATGTATGAAGCCAGCTAGAACCTCTGATAACACTCCTCTAAAAACAGGTTCCAGTCGATGTGCGCAAGTCTAAAACTTCGTACTCGGTCGGGTGAACTTATTGGCAGGAGTTATGCAAATCCTTCCTGTGGTGCTCCGGGTCTTTTCCCTTTGTGACCACAGGCCGTGCATGATGTGACCAAATAAGGCTCTTACAGAATCCCATTCAAGTCCGGCCCTTAAGGAAGACAAGCCGGTGCCGCCCTCCCTGTCCCGCTGGAGCCGTGGCACAAAAGTGCAGTGGGGAGGAGAGAAAGAAATAGAAGAGAGGAGGAAAAAAAGGGGGGCCCAAATACTTTTGCACATAATCAAGGACACCATGCATCAGTAATTGCCTACATCTGGCCGGGTACACTAAAGCAGCAGGAGGTGCCCGAGGAGTACAATAGCTACAGAACTTGGAGCAAAAAAAACAAATCCCAGAAAAGGAAATTGGCGAAACACCAGAGCTGGACTGGGCCGTTACAGGGGACCTGGGTGGGCAACTAGTTAGGGTTGCTTGAGGGCAGCTACAGAGGCCCGTCACAAGCGGGGAGACCTCAGGTTGTGTGGCAGCTCTAGTAGGTGAGGCGGGAGGCCTTCATGTTGTAGCAGGGTCTGTCCGTCAGGCCCCCGGTGCCGGAGAAAAGGGACAAGCCCTCGGCTTTCTCCAACACCACCTCGAGCTCCTGGAAGTCCTGCAGCCGAGCGACGTCCTTGTCCTGCACAGGAAGAGACAGGGATGTTTCAATATATGACCAATTCACATACTGTGAAGTAACGGTGTAGAAAGCCCTTTTCCAAACATGTGAGTCGGCTTTTAGGTCATACGTGACAATATTACAACAAAAGGGCATAATCGTAAGCGAGCACGTTTCTTAAAACAAAAGGCTCATTTGATTTGAATAGAAAGCACATCTGATCCGCCAGACTGCATCTTCCTTCAGCACACCTTTCTCAACATGGTGTTCGGCAGCTTGCGGATCTTCTCCACGTGCTCCGTGCTGATGTCCAACTCCCGGCAACACACCCTCAGAAGGGAGCGATAGGTGAGCTCCTGGCGGTCCAGCTCCACTTCGATGAAGTCGTTCTCCCGGGTGTTGGGATTCTGGATACGCACCTTCAGCACCAGCTCTGGAGAAAAAGCAACAGGATGGCACCTCTTCTTTGACACACATAGCTCACGTAGAGAGACTGGCTGCGGAGGAGGGTCGTGTTTTTGATCATCAAGAGAGAAAGGGGAACGTCCATTAACTACCGTTTCTGGTTTGACAAGTAGGCTGCCGACACACAAACACACATACGTCCGCTGCCTGGCAATAACAAAAACAACTCCAGGAAGCCAGAGCTCAATAAATGAACTCAACACAACTGGATGTTTACACAGCAACATGAAATGTGTTGACTGCGATCATTTAGAGTAGCTGGGTGGTGTAGAACCAGGCTAACGGATGTTTCCTCAAGCTTTAAGTACTCAGCGAAGAACTTTCTGGTTCTGCATGTGAGGAAGGCGTTAAACATATTACAATACACATGGTAACACCCCCCCACCTTGCACGTTGACAGGGAAGGTGCTGGTGAAGAAGAAAGGCTGGAAGGCGGCCACGGGCCCGCCGGCCTGGCCGTAGTTCAGCTGCTGGGGGAGAGACTGCTGCCGGCCCACAGTCGGGTTAGCGCCGCCCACCGGGGCCTGGACGTGGCCCCCGCCGCTGCTGGCCACGCTGGGGCTGGGCGAGGCCGACGGAGGCGAGCACGCGGTCCCGTTGTGGGCCCCCGCGGGCGGGTAGTCGCCGTGGTTGACGAGGTCCATCGGCACCGCGCAGTTTGCGGCGGCGTGGCGGCGCGACGAGGCCGGGCTGTGCGACGCGCCGTTCTGCTCAGTCACGGGAATGAAATCGCCGTGCGCCTGGCTGTGGGTGGGCGCGCTCGGGGGAGGCGAGGGGCCGTCGGGGAAGCGGCTCTGGGGCTTCGGAAGCTCGTGAGATGGGGAGAGGGAGGGGGAGTCGCTCGGCGTGTCTTCGGCGTCTTCTCCAGAACTGTTCTGCGCGAGGTGCCGCGCCCGCATGATCTCGGACTTATCCATCTTGGAATACATGAAGGCCGGGTTGGACAGGTAGTTGGGGATGATCGGCAACTCAGGCTCCTTGACTTCAGGCTCATCCTCTACTTCGACTGCAACAGAATTTATTATTTCCTTAAAAACAGTTTCGAACACATTTCAAGTATCTACACTTTATTACACTGAATGCAAGTGAGAACAAATGACATCTATAATGATGCGTCCAAAACAAGTGGGGAAGAAATCTGCAGCTTACCTCCCAAAAGTCGCTTGATCTCTGGTTTGGATGTAAGTTGCGAGGCCAACTCATCCTTAGCGGTGAGGATTTCTTGGTCCGCTCCGTAACCGAGCAGGAAGGACACTATGTGCTTATGGTTCCTCTTGCACGCCCAGTGCAGGCATGTCCTTGTGACATTATTGGAGAGGGGACAAAGTTTAGTGAGCGGAGGCATCCATCCGCTAATGAAATGAATCAAAATGCATTCAATCGCACATTACTAAAGTTCCACGCATCATTACAAAAGTTGTGTATTGGAAGCCAGGAGGCAAACAGAAAAAATGACAGCAACGTATTTAGTTTGCACAAAATCCTGGCACGTTGCTTCCCTTGTTTATATTGTATTATTTAAGTCAATCCATCAGTGGTAATGACAATAAGCTCGGCAGGTCCATGACTGTATTACCAACTCACTCTTCAAACTTCACAGTGACTGATATTTTAGGATGCTTAGAATAATGGCACAAGCAGGTACTAGCAAACAGCTCGTATTACTGACTGACATTTAAGCAGTAGCTTGTCTATCTAACGAAACCGTGGCTCACACCGATAAGCTTTAATCCCTCGTAACAAGGCACTTGACTGCACTGACCCGTTCTAGAAGCGTCAAAAATCGAGTATTAACCAAAAATGTGCATCAAAACAACACTTGTCCCCATGCGTGTATCGTGGAGGAGACACCGTGCACTCTTCCAAAACACTCACCAGCCATTTATTTCGTTCTGGGAATTAACATTTACTCCGCTCTCCACCAAAGTCCGCACTTCGTCGATGTCCCCGATGGCAGACGCCTCTCTCAGCCGCTCCTGTAATTCTTTATCCAGCGAAGTGGTGGACATTTTGATACAGGCAACTAGCGCTGGGACACCATACGATACACAAACGCCTACCGGGGAAAGTTGTCAACTACAAGCGCCCAACAAATGTTTCTTAACGACGGCACATGCGGGCCACTAAATATGCGCTTGCCAGCTAACATTAGCTACTCAGCTAACATTAGCTACAGGCTAGCTTGACGAGGTGCTAGCTTGTGGCAGCTAGTCGCTGCGGCTAATTTAACTTCGTATGGAATCTTTGGCGTTTACTCGGCAGGGTCCGTCCTCGCCATTTATCTGTGTTGTTAGATAAAGTAGTAGCTGGTGAAGTGCCACTGCCAAAACTCAGGGCACTCATTCAATGTATCACTGGTATCAGAGCTCCGTCATCGGGCTGCCGATACCATCAGCGCCTCATCGGGGGACATGTTTAGATGTAACAACCGCGGGCACAAATGTTTGTTCCACTCGGAATACTCTCCATTTACGTTTGGTTGACACTTACCTTCCCGTAAAATATAATATGTGACACTATTCCGTCACCAACTCGTTGTCGCTAAGTAAATTAACCTGAAAAATAAAAGGGGAAAGCATTGTTATTAGCACGTGTCACCGGTAACCACGCAACCAGTGGGTAATAACAGACCCCATACTATACTGTCTGCTGAATTTAATGAACGTACGTAAAGCACACGTGATATGATACCTATTTTTATAATGATCGCAATGTGGAGTTGTGCACTCTTTAATCAGCCCCACTTGAGAGAAAATAAAAGCAGACAGGATCAACGATTACTGAACATTTTTTTAGTCGTTCAGTTAATTTGAAAGTCGGAATTTGTGGCTACCACAGATCTCCAAAAAACAGCTATCCGCTAGTGAAACTGTAAAACAGTTAATTAATTACAACCCAAAGCTATGTTTTAATTTATATTAATGGCGATGATTAAACGTATAATAACGTCCGTAGTTGCACGATTTCAAAAAATGTTGCATTTATTCAATATGAACACTAGAGAGCAGTGCAGTTTGCTATTCACGTGCATACGTCACTTAAACTTCACAGACAATATAATAATGTGTTAGATAAAACACAAGTCTGTATATCATTAAATGGATGCACTGTCTGTATTTAAGCCTATTGAACATTGATAATGTTTAGTTTGTAACTATTGAACAAATAATGACTTTAAAAGGTTATATCTGAGTGTTTCAGTTTGGTGAGTTGATGTAGGTTTTATATTAGAACATGGGACTATAACATGTAGGTTGTATGTATTGTTTCTATGTTCTTCACGGATACACGTACGTGTATTCGTCTCCGCAGAGTAGCGTCAATGCACCAATAAGCGCGACACCAAACGCTGAAAACACAGAAGAAGAAGAAGAACGGAGATGACGTCATTCGCATGAAACGGTTCGTGGGTAGAGTCGTAAGCGGGCGGCGTTGTTATAGCATCTGCCATTTTGATCAGAAGTACTTCCTTAAATATCGTGGTGCTTTAGATTAAGACTACAATCTTGTGGGCAAAATGCTTTCAGCAGCCCAGTTACTCGATGAGTTGATGGGCCGTGATCGAAATCTGGCCCCGGATGAGAAGCGATGCAACGTGCGATGGGACGACGAGACTGTAAGTTAGCATTCTAGCTAACATTAGCCCAGCCTGTTCCATAAGCTAACGTTAACAGCTACCTGGCTTAGATCCGATCTGTTTAACCATAGCACATAGGATGTGGGAGCTAGTTACATTAGTGCATTGGTAATTTATTTAGATCGAATTGATGACGCACCAAATTGGAGAAATCAGTGTAATCTTTGCACGCTGCATGATAATTAGCATTAGCTTTAGCCAAAGGTTACGCTAGTTCATTGGTTTACAATGCGGCTTGAGACGTTGTGGATTACTGAGGGTTATTATGTTGCCCCGTGTTAGCTTTGAGGGATAGTTAATCTTTAACCAAGCTAGTTAGATCCGGCATTTGTTAGTCCAGTTTAATGATAACATGAGACAGAAGTAAGAACTGGTTGGTGTTAAATAGCACAGAAATGCTTTAGCCCGAACTGAAATGAATTCTGTCTGTATTAACGTTGGTATTGTGTTGGTCTTTTCTCTCTTCAAGAAAGTATGTCGATACTATCTGTGTGGCTTCTGCCCAGCTGAGCTGTTCACAAACACCCGCTCAGACTTGGGTAAGTTAAGAAGTGTGTGTGTGTGTGTGTGTGTGTGTGTGTGAACGCAATACTTAATATCTAATTATGACCTGCTTGTAACTTTTTCAGGGCCTTGCGAGAAAATCCATGATGAAAACCTTAGAATAACGTAAGTTCCCATTGTGCGTTGTACCTCAGCTTGTGTGTGTGTGTGTTTCTCTCGACGTTCCCACATAACAAGCTGCTTCTGTCCCACCGTGTCCAGGTACGAGAAGAGCTCTCGGTTCATGAAGGAGGGCTATGAGCGAGACTTCCTGCGCTATTTGCAGTCGCTCCTGGCCGAGGTGGAGCGGCGGATCCGCAGAGGACATGCCCGGCTCGCCCTCTCGCAGGCCCAGCAGAGCGCAGGGGTTTGTGCACTTTAAACGATAAATGTATTGTTTTTAGGAGCACATCTTTTTGTCATCCAACGGTGCAGAGAAAATTGAGGGATTTTGTGTGTTATATTGATGCACTTTACATCTATTTCTTCCTTCAGGGTCCGGGCCCATCGGGAAAGAATGAAGAGAAGGGCCAGGTTCTGACGGAGAAGATTGAAGACCTGGTTTTACAGGTCTGTAAAGAATATGTTGAAATAAGTGCCTTATATTACATGCATATTGACGTTAATGATTTTGACGGAACCGGGAAGTACTCTAATGTGAATATCTGTTGTGGAACTTCCCCAGATTTGTCAAAGGTAGATTTACCAGCATGGATAACTGATCCTTTACAAAAACGTGTTTGAAATATTATCACCATTGATGCCTCTGTGTTGCTTTTGGTGGGGGGCTTATCGGTTTTATTCTTGCTCAGATTGAGGAGCTGGGCTCGGAGGGCAGAGTGGAGGAGGCCCAGGGAATGATGAAGCTAGTGGAGCAGCTGAAGGAGGAGCGAGAGCTGCTCGGCTCCAACCCCTCGGTGAGTCCGTGAACTCCAGGCTGCTCGACGTGACCGGCGCTGCTTGTGTATTCTAAAAGATAACTGCTGGTTTTACTGACATTCACCATCGCTAGAGTCAACAATGATTCCACAAACGTCTTCAGAATCCATCCTGCGCAAACAGACCAGACGCTGTGCTCCCGTGCTGAACCATGTTGTTGTTTTGACACAATGTTTTTTTTTTTTTAAATTTATTCAGACCATCGAGAGCTTTGCGGCCCAGGAGAAGCAGATGGAGGTGTGCGAGGTGTGTGGGGCCTTTCTCATTGTGGGTGACGCACAGTCTCGAGTGGATGACCACTTGATGGGCAAACAACATATGGGCTACGCCAAGATCAAGTCCACCGTGGAGGAGCTCAAGGTAACCGGATTACACGTCTCAGGAAATAAAACGCGTGATTTGATGCGGCAGCAGTTATTTGGTCCATGTTATGGTTGGACAAGAAGCAGAAGTTTGACAATGAAACCATGCCAATATGTGACTCGGGTTGTCGCAATGCATCCTCTCGTGACAATACTGTACAATTTTTGTCCACTACTTTGGGAAGGTGAATGATTTATAGGAGGCGTAATGAGCAACTGGTGCTAATGAGTTCTTGCTCTCTTACTTTCAGGAGAAACTTCGTCGTCGCTCAGAGGAACCCGCAGAAAGTCCAGCGCTTAAGAAGGACCGAGAGGACCGTGAGCGCGAACGAGAAGAGAGGGAGAAGAAGCGCAAGGAGGAGGAAGAGAAGGAGAAAGAGCGGGAGAAGGAGCGCGAAAAGGAGAAGGAGCGAGAGAAAGAGCGCGAACGGGAGCGGGACAGAGAGCGAGACCGTGACCGGGAGAGGGACAGGGACAGAGACCGGGAGAGGGACCGGAGGGCCCGCCGAAGCAACTCCAACAGCCGCCATTCCAGCAGAGTGTCGGACAGGAAAAGGAGCCGATCCCGAGATCGCCGGAGGTCCAGGAGCCGAGACAAGGAGAGGGAGAGGGAACGCAAACGCAGCAGGTAACCCCAACAAGCGACCTTAAAAGAATGCGTGCTTCTGTAAGTCCAGCATCGGAGGACCCTTTGAATCAGGGTTGTCAAACATCACTTGGCGAAGTGTAAAAATGACAGAAAAGCCGGTCCGCGTGACATCAAAGTGGACCGTATGTGGGGCCCCTACCTCAAATCAGTTTGACACCCCTGCTTACAAACGTGTCACACGCTTGTTGGTTTATTTTTTTTAAATTTTTTTTTACTTGATTTGTTCACTGTGGCATTTTCTAGTTTGGAACCTATTAAGGTGCCTTTAACTTGTTGCTCATTGTACTAATTTGTTCTGATTACAACGAAAAAGAATTTTCTCTGTTTTGCTGTGAAACATTTTAAAATGGACAATATCAAATTAAATAGTATTTTCCTGTTCATGAAAAATAAAATTATCCTGTTAATGTAGTTATTTTCCAAATGTTAATGATCAGACTTTTTTATTTTCATTCATTTTTTTTAGGAGTCGAGACAGGGAGCGCGAGCGGGAGAAGAGGCGCAGCAGCCGCGAGCGCGTTGACAGAAAGCGCCGCTCCCGCAGCCGCGAGCGCAAGAGGTCACGTAGCCCCGAGCGCAAATCTCACCGCCATCGCAGCCGCAGCCGGGACCGGGAGGAGAAGAGAGACCGGGACAGGGAGCGGTCATCGAAAGACAAAGGTGATTTCAAAGAAACGGCGCACGCACGCGCGGGAGAAAAGCCCCCCCCCCCCCCTTTTTTTTTTTTTGATGGATGTGAGCATAAATATCCGATGATTTCGCAGACCGTAAGGGACGGAGGAGAGGAGCAGCTCCAAGAAAGACAAGCACTCTGACGGCGATGCGGCGGCCATCAAGGCTTCGTCAGGAGCCGAGGTGGTGGAGAAAGGGGCGGCTGCCCCCGCCTCCCCTCGGCTTAACGGCCAGCAAGAGCTCCTCCATTCTGAAGGTGACACTCAGTCCAATTAAAACTGATCTGATAGGACCTCAGATCAGGCTCAGGTAAGTGCGTCCTCACCCTCGCTCCCCCTGGCTCTCAACCCAACCCCTCCCACGCTCCCCATATCCCTCCCCCCACCCTCCTCCCCCATCCCTGTTTACCGTCAGTTCTATGCCTCACGTACTATGTGCATATATCTTTATCCTGTTTTTTAATAGTGCATCATAAGTATGCACTGAAGATTAAGGACTAGGCCCGATGATTGACGAGAAGCTAGAAAACTATCAGACAAAGCCAAGAGGGAAAGGCCAGTGTAGCCCTGAGCAAACGTGCCCGGAGGTACCTTCGTTTTGTACCGGTCTTTGACCAAATGGCAGAAAGAAATATTAACCAGTCCAATCAAATTCCTGCCTGTATTGACCTGTTTGCTTTATTTCTTTTTGTTATTTTAACTTTTTGTTTTTACGTAGAAACCTTTTTCGTAGTTTTGATCTCCTGTTGTCAGACGACTCCTGTGTGTTTACGTGTTGATATGGCCACATATCCATGTCTGCAGATATCACGGTCTGCTCACATGTAAACACACAGACGGACCCTCAGCTCTAGTACAAAAATAACAAGCCATTTTGCCGTAATCATAACTCGAATGCCATGGATCTGTTGTCCAGCTGACTGTGCCTGATGATGCCATGCAGTGTGTGTGTTTGGGATGGGGGGGGGGGGTGTTATAGCAACAGGGGCCTTACGTAACTAACTAACTGGAGGGTAGGGTTTATCAAATGAATTGCAGCTGACTTCCATACCTCACACAGCGTTGGTGTTGTGAGCGAGACCACATGAGAAAAGGGCAAATTAAAAATCATGGATACTCTGACTGTCAAACTGTGCAGGTACTCACCCCAGGTACTCCTTTCTCTACCCACATCCATTTCTGAATGCTGTTGCCTGTCAGAAAAAAAACAAAACTGCTGTGTACTTCTCCACAACATTTAGTTATGTCTTTTTATTCTGGTTCTTTGTTTTTAGATTCGATAACTTTCAGGGAAAAGTTTTTATATTCTAGAAATGTCAGTTTAAAATGCTCCGATGCACAGACGGCCTGTTTGATATTTCTATGCGAAATGCTAAAGTTGTCACCCGAGTGTAGCTTTGCCTGTAGCGTTAAGGACTTCTGTTTTGTGAGGGTATTTTTAATGTTAAATCTGTCATTGAATCTGTCTGAAAGTATGTCAGGTGCACTTTAGCATTGGCATACGGAGCCTCTAAACAGGTTTGTCACTGTTGATAAAACATTTCGCTCGGAGTTGGTGAGCAGAACTTGAAAAATTTCAGAACTTGTCTGCTCAGAATTACCGCAGATAGAGAAACCCGTTGATGATCTTAACTGTCCTCTGTGGCTAAAGTGAGGGACACGTATCACCCGTTTTTGTTTCTCTGTCCATGCTCGTGTTGCTCCAGTAGCAGCAGCAGTTGCTCGTAGCGACGCGCTCAGCACTTGTTGTGGGACCTTTACTGACATTGCGTCTTGTGAACATTCTTTGCTCCACAGGGGAAGCTGGGATATCTGGCGGAGGAAGAAGTGGAAGAGCGCAGCCGCCCTCGTCCTGATTCTGACACGTCGCTGCTTAAAAACAAGGTGAACCACAGACGTGTAGTGGCTTATTTAAGAAAAAAAAAACAACAAACAAAAAAACATGAGCGTACATGTAAATTGAGGAGAGGGGGAAGAAAATGCATCTGTCTGATGCTCCATCAGCGGTCCGGAGGAGGGTAGTTGTGGTTCATCTGATGTATTACTTGGTCTAGATGTCAACCAGGCCTCACTTTGAATACCAAACTTAGAGAAGTTCATTTTTGGTTTTTGTGTTCTTATTTTGAAAATCTTTACACATCCTCCTTGTTTCTTGACATTTAGTGCAAACCAAATAATAATAAAATGAAAAGGAAACGATGCTTGTGGTTTGTTTTGGTTTGTCAGGTGCCACTTCGCTCCCTGACCCATTTTTTCTAAGTCGGTTGAAAGCGTAATGTACGATGGTCGTCTCTTATCTCCTCACTCAGAGCTCACATTGATCGCTCTTGTCCCTTCACTGTAAAAAATACTGATTTCATTTTGATCAAAAGATTTCAAAGAATGGAGATTCGTTGAATTTTGCTCTGCTTTTAAATGTCCATGTTGTCTCGATGAATAAAAAAAAAAAAAAAAAAAAAAATCCATATTTGTCAACCCTGCGTTGTTTCTTTTCCCACCATCGGGGCATCTACTGGAACAAATATGTCCTTGCATGTTTTAAATAAGTAAATGTGAGGTTTGGCAGTTAATCCTGAACTTTGCTGTCCTGTCTGCTTTTTAATGGAGTGAGAAGACTTGAAGTGTTGAGTGTCTGTAAGGAAGATGGATGCAAATCGCGAAATGTCTCCTGGCTGATTGATCACATCGTGTACCCGCCGGTCGGCTCTCGATCCTCCGATAAGTTTACTTCATTTAGTGCAGCCCCTAAGCCCCGCCCACACGGCTCCTCCGTACTGACCTTTCCCAACCTGCCGCCTGTGGAGAAAGCCGGAGGACTTTGTTAGTGCTACTAGAGGCCCTGATTCTGCAGAGTCACCACTGACTGAAAGAAGCTTTGATAAGTTTGCATTCAAGACGTCCAGATGGTCCGATAATCAAGCGCGTCAAGCTTTTACAACGTGTATCTAGAAATCTCCAGCAACTAAAGAACGTGTTGTAAACTCTGCTTCCCAGTAGCAGCAGTTGACAGATGGCGTTTAATTAGCCAGACAACCGTCCTTATTTCTCGTATCCAGAGTTTCTTCTCCGGTTAAGAGCGTTCTATTGCGTTTAAGATTATAATTAGATGATTTCGGCTCATTCTACTCTGCTGGAAAGTCTTTCATTTCTGTCCTTTGGCAACATTTTTTGTTTTGCCCCATTATTTCCATTGCCAGTGGGGAAATACCAATTTAATACACCCTCGATAGAGTTCAATTAGTGTACGTTGATGGCTCTGGGTGTTGTACTCCCCAAGCTAATGATGCCTCAGTTCCACATGAGCGTGTGCGTGGTTGTGTAGCTGTGGCGTCTCAGTCTCTCTCTCTCTCTTGTGACGCCAACATTCACTCGCCAGGAAAAGGACCAAAAAAAATGTCCTCTGTACCGATCTCATAAGACCACATTTAACAGGTGGGGGCTTAAGATGGTCTCTTATAGAATAACGACCCATGGGGGGGGGGGTGGTCTAAGAGCCATGCACAGGTTGCAGTTGCACAACTCAACAGCAGGTGGCAGTATGCATCATTTCTAAGAAAAGACGATAATCTGTGGCCTCTCGATACAGTACTTCTTGACACACACTGCTATTAATGCACACAGACACACACACACAGGCAGGTAGGCAACCCTGATAATAGTAAGTCATGCTAAACAGTGTCACACTCGGGCAACATTAACATCCCATTTTCTCCACCACACACACACTCTAAATGTCATTAGGGAAGCAGTATTTCCCCCAGGCGAGAGGAAAAACCGAGGGAAGACACAACAGGAAGATAGCAGGGAAATGGTGGGGTTGTTGTGGTGGTGGTGGTGGGGTGATGGAGCAAGGAACAAGGGGAGCCATGGAGGGATTGGGCCTGATGTGACGTTAACCAACCAAGGTGGGAAAAAAAGGATAATGGAGATGGATGATCTTTACTTTTACTCCTTTCTTTTCTTTCTAGACACCCAGTCGATTGCAAGTGAAGGTCAAGAGGGGGAGCAGCATGTAGATGATGCAGCAGAGTGGGCAATTCATCAGTGATGTCGGATTAATGATCTAAACCTCACACTCACTGCTTGTGTCAGCTTTACATCATTGCGTGTGATGTGTTTCTACCTGCAGGTGAACTCGGGCACAATGTTTGTTATGCACGAATACTAAAATTGAAGCATATTTTATGCATTTTTTTCTTTTTCTTTCTTAATGTGAGCCAAGAGTTTTTAATCCTAATTCAATTTTTTCTGGCCCGGCAAGTTTTAGCACTTATCAACCTATTAGGCCAGAGCTGCTAATGTATATTTTAATACCCTGCGCTCAGCCCTCTATCCCACCATGTTGCTCATTAAATCCGAGGGTGGCTGTAGTGTTTCACTATCTCGTGCAGTCAGACCCGCGTGTCACGTGGCGGAGTGAGACAATACGCCCACTAAATATTAACATATGAAAGACTACCGCGCGTGTGTTAACATGCTGCTTAATTGCTTTATTTTTCAGGTAAACAACAGTGCGTTGACGAGGGCGTGACATGTGTTTACACTTAAATATGTCACACAATCTCACAACACAAACCGACCCTTCTGATGGAGTTTTGATCCCCGGGGTTTTCATTCACGGTTCACACAGTGTGAAGTAAACTACCGATGAGCTCTAAAGTGACGAGTGGCTGCGAAGGAAGGAGATTCCGCCGCGCTTACGTACGAGTGTCGGGGTCCTGTTTGTGCTTTCCGCGTTCAGTTCACCGTTTCCACGGGAGAATGTGGATGCTCAGCGGCAGGGGAGCCGGAGTGAATCATGCTGTAGTGTTTGCACTGCCTCCATCAGCAGATGGCTCCACCACAGGAACGGGCTCAGAGTCAACGAATAAGGGCCCGGCAGCTTTCTCGCACCCTTTTTCTTTTCTTCTCTACCATCTTTACCTTTATGTTCATGCTTTTCCTTTCCTGCAGTGTTTGCAGTTCTGGCCCCAGATGAGCTGCCCGGAGCCAGAAACCCGGGTGGCAGCCACTGAGACTTGTGGGTTCTCTCACCTGAGCTTTAAAGCCCTTTGGTGGGGCGTTGGAGTGAGGAGAAAGCCTTTCCCGTGTGCCGTCTCCTTCTCCGAGAGGGGGAACAGACACCGAGAAGGATGAGAGGATAAAACAGGAGGGAGAGCTTTTTGCTTTCTGCAAGATGGCACTAATGTAGAGGAGGAAAACTACAAGCAAATCACACTCGGCAATAAAGGAACGGATTTAGATGCATCACATGAATTCAATTATGGGATTTAGATTTAAACAGCGAACGTATTAACAGGGATCCCAAAGAATGTCTTACTGGGGGGGTTAAAGTGATGCGGAAAGCGAGCCGATCGGCGGGTCGGTGAAATGTATTTTCAACTCATGTCCCTAAAGAGCACACTGACTGAAACCCTTCCACCCGAGATACCAGGAAACACCAAAACCGTCCTTTGGCGCAACGCTGTCTCCAAGGCAACGGTCGAAGCTGACCTCGCCTCGTTTGAACCATGACGGCCGACGGTCTCGCGCACAGCAGCTGTAAACATGCACCAGGTGGATTGAAAATGGAACCAACAGACGTGCATTTGGGTCTCAAGCGGGGCGAAGGGCCTGCAGGAGAACACTTCACAATTACCACCAAAGTCTGGCTGACTAATGTAAAAAAAAAAAAAGAGCATCGTCGTAGAAGATGGCAGCTTTCGCTGAAAGCGTCTCCTGTGTTTATGCAGAGCCAAAAATATAACACAGGCTACCAAACAAATATCGGCGTATGTGAGCTTCATAATTAACGAGGAGAGACCAGTGATGCGCTCCGGTGTTGCGCTGATGTCCCCGAAATTGAAGTATTGATCGCAGGCGGTGCCCGTGTCAAGATGGTGGAGCGCGGATTCACTCGGAAAAATGAGGGTCAAAGAATACAGAGTATTTTGCCCTGTATTAGAAATGTATAATTAATCCTTTGGCGGTGGAAGCTTGTATTTGCTAGAAAAAAACAAGCATTCATACTACTTTTGAAGTTCAAAATATGTTGATGATTTCTTGTATGAACCTTATCCGTGGTGATCAATCACAGGGCCGATCAATGGTTTGCATACAAGCCGGAGACCCCCCCCAGAGACCTGAAGCTAAAGCAGGTCCGCCGCTCGCTGTGTTTGATGTCTTTTGTCATTAAAGGTCAAAGTAAAGCTCCTGACAAATCTGTTGGTCAGGTACACACACACACACACACAACGTATGTTTTCCACACACACACACACACACACACACACACACACACACACACACACACAACGTATGTTTTCCACACACAACTCCAGTACTCACCTCCATCTTCTCCTCTCCCAGAAAATGCTGATGGTGCGATCTCCCGTTGCCCGCCCACCCGTCCCCCCCCTCTCTCTCTCTCTCTCTCTCTCTCTCTCTCTCTCTCTCTCTCACAGCACTATTTGTCTCGTCCTATGAATTATGCATATGATTAATTAGGCTGGTCATTACAGTACATGGTCATCTGGAAACTCCCCTTTGTTCTAGTTCAAACATAAAATGGGCCCGTTTCTTCCCCCCCCCCCCACACCATCCCTCTCGCCCGCCGCCATTGTCGGCCGCGTGTTATGGATGAGAGGGAGGGCCCCGGGTATTTGTTGTACCCCTCGGGATGCTGCGTGGTGTTGCGCAGGGGGGGAATACAATGAAATAACAAGATAACAAGATAAAAGCCTCGTGTCGGACTTCAAAGCCCAACGGCTCCCTGTATAGAAGCCCTGTGAAACGGGGGCCTTGGTGATTACAAAGAACGGTGGGGCCCTCATGGGAGGCAGGCGGGGGGGGGGGGGCCCATACGTGGACATGGGGGGTGTCGCACATAAAGACACAGGTGTACATGTGACGGAGGCAATATGCAATATGTAAACCCCCCTTTGGTGCACCTCGGAAACACACGGGAAGCTGGAGTGGAAGCAACTTGCCTCCTGGTGGCCTTCGTACAGCAACACAACAGTTCACCCTCACCAGCAGCGGTCAAGTTCAGCCGCCATCGCTCCTTTTCAATGTCACCGTGAGGGTTGAGCACTCATCTAAAAGGTGTGAATCTCCCGCCAACCTGTGATTCCAGCCAAAAGCGTCCCAGCTCAAAGGTGCTGCCTTGTGCAATAAATCCGCTAAGCAGTTATTGATCCGTGCTCACAAAGGTGGGCCTGACAGCAGGAGCGAGGGGGGCATTGGGGCATATTCCTCCGCAGATGCAACAAGCAAAGCTCACTTTGTGCCTCCCTCCATGAAGTGGGGGGGCGGCGGAATCCTGCATCATGAATCCTTTTGGCCTCTCATCGATCCAGGGCTCCAATAACTCTGTATTGACCGTCCGTCTTTCCCTGTAAAGACATCACTCATGTCCGCCGGTGGCCGAGCGGCAGTGAGACCACGCGGACTGTCAGTGGCAAGCT